TCCTGTCAAGGCTCGTGTTGTTAACCTGCCCGAACACTCTTGATCGCACAGAGGCATTAGATTATGGTCTTGGATAATTCTCCTTTGCTTGGAGGGCTCTGCGCTCTGACTGGAACTTTATATGTCAGCCTGCCGAGGCACTGCCGATCGTTCAGGGGCCCACCACGTTGGTCTCGGGTTCTTTTTGTTTGCTCTGCGGACCCTATACTTGTTGACGGAGACACCTTGTTGGTCTCCTGTGGCACCCAGGATCCCGACAGCATAAGCCGACTTAACGCAGTCCGTTGCCCGGCCCCAAGGCGGAAGCTATTGCCCCATCTCCTTGGAAGTGACTATGGCCGTCGGGGGAAGGCCTTGCATTGTCCCGAATAAAAAACCTTGCGGTACATGTACAAAATTAAGAATGCCGACAGCGGGATTTATGATTTTTAATTGGGGCAATTCTGCTTACGCTAGCTGATTGTGTTCGTTGCCTGCTGCGCCTAAAATGCTCACGGTGTTATAGGACCTTGCTCACGGTGGTCGTTTCTCCTAAAAATAGATGCACGTGTTGAGAGAAGAGGGCGCGTGGGGCAGGCAGGAACCGGTAATTTCATGGCAGGCTCGCATATTGCAAGTGTAAAATGGCTAGCGATTAGAACTGGGTTACGGTAGTCGGAACCATTGATCACAGTATGCACTGGGCTGTCAGGGTGATCTGCCCTTTAAGGAAATATATTCTTTACCTGTTATGATTTTAAGGGTGCTTGGAGGGGCTCATTCATCGCTCAAGGGACAGCAGCAGTACTTCAGCCCCAAGCCTGTGTAGAAGTAGCCATAACAGTTTGGGGCAGAGAGGCTTGGGATAAATTTATGGCAACCCAGTGCATTTTAAAAATGTGGGGCATCTGCCCAGATTTTAAACAATACACATGCTAAACATCCAGCATAGTAGCAGCATTCATCACTGCCAATGTCAGCACATAGCCAATGTTTGAAGGAACTGTGGTATTGCAAAGGTAGACTCAGGTAAAAATACTCTGATTAACTACAGTATGGTGAAGGTAGGCATGGGAAAATATAGTCTGGAAGCATTTTTCTCACTTAAAATTACAGTGAAAGCTTAATAAAGCATGGCCTGACCTGAATTATATGTGTGAAAACAAGGTTCAGTGCACAGATGTCACATGGGCATGTGGCACAGCTGATGTATTTGTCCAGCCACTTAGGTGGGTAAGATGTATAAAAAAATTCATCCCTCACAGTGCTCAGGATCAGTCAGTCAGCTTCAGGCAGGGCAGAGGTCCATCCAGTCTGTGGGGTTCTCAAGCAGAGAAAATAATTTTTGCAAATAGAAAACAGTTCAGGATCAAATGGCAACTGATTAATGGCCAGCCAAGTATGGCTGCAGGGGTTGATTTATATTTTAATACCAAATTAAATTCATCTTAGAATGCTGCCTTGTGAGACCTGGGTTGCAATACTTTTTAGTACTTGGACCCTGAGACCCATGAGACCCATCCATTGATGAAGCTAACTATTGGGTATCAGATGGCATGCTCTTCAGTTTTTTACATGATCACAGCACAGGAAACCTCAGCTCTGAACAGCAGCCTGAGCTATGTGTGATCATGTATGAGCTAGATGATGTGTGGTATCTGATATGCTTGGAAAAGTTGGTGTTATGGTGGGATCAAACCCATATCCTTTTATCCCACACTCCCATATCCCCATATCCCCATATCCCACACTCAAATCCTGACCCTTGTAGTAATTGCAAGATTGAAATATGTGGGCTGATAATGGGGACAGCTGTCCTCTGCAGCTCGGTCTGTGGGGTGCATAACGAGGACCTTGGGAGATCAGATTCAGACTATGTAGTGGACCATTACTTCTTTGCAGATCAGCTGAGTGATGTGCAGCTATAAAAGGATAGCACAGCTTCACCACATGCCAATAATGTACCTATAATAAGTCATGAATGGTCATCAGGCTGCTGCCTCTGGCAAATATGTCTCAAGACATTTTTCACTGGCACAACACCATACAGCCACACTGCCTATATCATGCTGGTGGCTGAAGTACACCAGCCACTGATGTGTGGCCATTTCCAGTGTGCCACCATGGGGCCACTGAGCTGTGCGGCACTGGTGGAGCTGCACCTGCACCTGCTGGAGCTGGAGCGACAGTCGGAGCTGGAGCAGACCCAGGCGCTGCTGAGCACGCTCTCAGTGCGCCAGCTGTGTGAGCGGGGCGTGTGCCTGTCGCGGCTGGCGGTGGCCGAGCGGCGCACGGCGCTGTACGGCCGCTGCCTGCTGGCGCTGCGGCCGGCCGGCCGGCAGCCAGCGTCGCTGCCCAGTCACACGCTCGGCTCCGGCGACGTGGTGGCCGTGACTGAGACGGGCCGGCCGCCGGGCGAGGGCGTGCGCACGGCTGTCGTCTCGCGCGTCACCGCCGCCGAGCTGACGCTGGTCTTCGCCGAGGACGCCGAGCTCGACTCGGACGACCAGCTCGTGAACGTGGTGAAGGTGGCCAGCGACGTGACGCACCGGCGCCTGCGCTCGGCGCTGCAGCGGCTGGAGGCGGTGGTGGCCGGGCCGGCCGGCCAGCTGCGCGCCGTCCTGTTCGCCGAGAGCGCGCTGGAGCCGCCGGCGCCGGGCCTGCCGCCGCAGCTGACCGACGACAGCGGCCAGCTGCGGCTCGTCAACCAGCAGCTGGACGGGTCGCAGCGTGCGGCGGTGGAGTTCGCGCTGCGCCAGCGGCGACTGGCCGTCATCCATGGCCCGCCCGGGACCGGCAAAACTACCGCCGTGGTCGAGGCCATCCTGCAGCATGTGCGGCTGGGTCAGCGCGTGCTGGCCTGCGCGCCGTCCAACACCGCCGTCGACAACCTGCTGGAGCGGCTGTGGGCGGCCGGCGCCACGCGTCTGGTGCGCCTCGGCCACCCAGCACGCATCCAGGACTCACTGCAGGGCTTCTCGCTGGACGCCCGCGTCACGGGCAGTGAGGACGCGGCCGTGGTGCGTGACGTGCGCCGAGAGGTGGAGGAGACGCAGCGGCTGCTGCGCGCCGCCGGCGCCGAGGCGCCGCGGCTGCGCGCCCAGCTGCGCCGGCTGCGCGCCGAGCAGCGCGAGCGCGAGCAGGCGCTGACGGTGGGCGTGCTGCGCCGCGCCGCCGTCGTGCTCAGCACGCTGACCGCCGCCAGCGACGACGGCCCGCTGCGGCTGCTGGACTGGCGAGCTGTTCGACCTCGTCGTGATCGACGAGTGCTCGCAGGCGCTGGAGGCGGCCTGCTGGCTGGCGGCGCCACGCGCCGGCCGTCTCCTGCTGGCCGGCGACCACTGTCAGCTGCCGCCGACCATCCTCAGCGAGGAGGCCGCCCGCCGCGGCCTGGCCGTGTCACTGATGGAGCGCCAGGTGGCTCTGCACGGCGACGCGGCCGTGCGCATGCTGTGCACCCAGTACCGCATGCACGAGCTGATCCAGCGCTGGCCCTCGGAGCAGCTATACGACGGCCGATTGGAGGCGGCGCCGGCCGTGCGCGACCACCGCCTGCCCCAGCTACCGGGCGTGGAGGACACGGAGGAGACGGCTCCGGCCCTGCTGCTGGTGGACACGGCCGGCTGCCGGCTGGAGGAGGTGCAGGCAGACGAGGCGGGCTCGCGTGGCAACGAGGGGGAAGGCCGACATCGTAACGGCGCACGCGCGCCGCCTGGTGGCGGCCGGCGTTGCGGCCGACCAGCTGGGCGTCATCACGCCCTACAACCTGCAGGTGGGCCTTATCCGCGACCGGCTGCGCGCGCTCGGGCTTGACGTCGAAGTCAACTCGGTGGACGGCTTCCAGGGCCGCGAAAAGGAGGCCGTGCTGCTGTCGCTGGTGCGCTCCAACCGACGCGGCGAGGTCGGCTTCCTGGCCGAGCGGCGCCGCATCAACGTGGCGGTGACGCGCGCCCGTCGCCAGCTGTTCGTCGTCTGCGACACGGCGACGGTGCGCGCCGACGCCTTCCTCGCCTCGCTGGTGGATCACCTGTCGGAGCACGGCGAGGTTCGCTCGGCGCACAGCTACGAGCGCGAGCTGGGCCCGGCCACGGTCACGCCGGTCGCGCCGCGCCGCGAGGCGGCGGCGCGGCCGCGCGAAGCGACCCGACCGGCCAAAGCCAAGCCGGCCAGCCAGCGGCGGCCGCGGCCGGAGCCAGCGCTACCGCGCGCCGGCGCCGGAGCGACGCACCAGGCGACTCCCGACTCTGCGGCGCAGGCGGAGGCGCCGGCCGAGGAGGATACCTTCGCCGAACAGGTACGGGAGCAGCTGCAGGAGTTCACGGCGACGGGCGGATGATCGGCTGGAGTTCCCCGCGACGCTGAACTCGTTCCAGCGCATGCAAGTGCACGAGGTGGCTGAGGAGCTGGGTCTGGCGCACGCCAGCTGCGGGGAGGGACGCGCTCGCTGTGTTGGTCGTGCAGAAGAGTGGTCTGTCTGCCGACTCGCCGTCAGTCGATGCCGCGAGGCTGAGCGACTCGGCGGAGGATGCATCCGTTCCCGGCGGATCTGGCTCGTCTGGGGAAGCAGCTATTGCAGCTTCGTCGTCCACCATCGCGGAAAACAAGAAATCCGTCGATGCCAAGTCCACTCGTAGTAAACCTGCTGGAAAGGACACCGACAGCCAACAGTCGGGCAGGAAACCTGCCAACGGCAAACTCACCGCCGGTAGCACCTCGGTTAGCCAGCCGGCTGTCAGCAAGCCTGCCGGCAGTGGGCCGTCCGCCAGCGGGGACGCCAGCCGGTACCGGGCCCATGCCTCGCTGGCGCGGTGCAGTGCGGACACTGCCGGAAGACCGTGCCGGCGGGAAACGCTGAGTTGCACGCGCTTCGCTGCGGCCGCCAGCTGTCGGGCAAGGTGCCTGCCTCCGCATCCCGCTCCCTTCCCCACTCCCGTTCCCGTTCCCGCTCCGCTCCGCCTCCGCCTCCGCCTCCGCCTCCGCCTCCGCCCCCGCCCCCGCTCCCGCTCCCTGCCCCTGCCCCCGCTCGCGCCCCCGCCCGAGCGGGCAAGGGCAAGAAGAGCAAACCGCGCCCGACGGCGGCGGCAGCAGCGGCTGCTGCAGACGAGGACTTCGACAGCCTCGTCTCGTCTTTCGCCGATATGAACAAGCGCTGCAACGCCGAGCCCAGGTGCTCGTCGGGTATCTTCATGCGGCAGACGTGCGAGTTCTGCGCGCGCGTCTTCTGTCTCACGCACTGGATGGCTGAGGCGCACGGTTGTGGCGCGGCAGCGCGCCGCGATGCGCGCGCCAAGTTCGTCAGCGGCGCGTACAGCCGCGCGGCGAACCCGGCGGCCGAGGAGCGGCGCAAGGCGCTGCTCCACCTGAAGCTGGACCGAACGCTGGGCAAGATGGAGTCGAGTAGGAAGGCCAAGCCGCCCAAGAAGAAGTGAGTGTCTGAGGTGGTGGAGCTGTGCTGGAGAGCTGTGGTGGAGCTGCGGAGCTGTAGAGCGGGCAGGGCAGGTGTAGACGCGAGCAGAGGAATATGATCAGCTCTGTTTAGCGGCTGGTGGTTTTGTCTTAATCGTGAGACCCAGTGGGTCCTGTCTTCGGACTCTTTTGTGATAATGGCGCTCGTACGTTACTTGATGAAGTTATTCATCACTAACTCATGACTGCTGGTAAGCTGGTATTTGTAACAACGTTGCCAATAAACCGACAAATGTCTGGAAATAGTGCAACCTGTCTGACCGATAAAACAATATCACTAATAGTAAATCGGAACGCAGAAATGTCAGATAGGACGTGGCTTAATTTCACATTCTTCCAAGCAGGATGATAATACATGTGCGCCGGTTGGCACAGTCAATGGAACCTCGCGGGCTTGCCGCAGATGTCGCTTCCACCTTTGTACAGATGTCGCTTACTGCACACCAAAAACTCCAGGGATTTGATAGGTTCTTGCCACGGTTATCCTGTAGCAAACATATTACAATTGTCATTGCTGCACGTTGCATGTCATTGTTGCATGCTGCATTCGGGTGCAGTGTATGGAGTGCAGTCAAAATTGTTGCAAATAGTCATTTGTCCATGAGTCGGCCATCAGATAGCGTCTCTTAATTGTATTCAAATAACGGTAAATAGGAGAGAAGCAGCACGCGTTTGCTGAGCTGACTACATCTTCGGTATCACTCGCTATCTGCTGAAGTCACGTGTGTTTGCGGTCGAGAAAGACCTGGTGCAGAGGGCTCATTCCGGCAGACGAGCAATCATCGACACGGGCATCGGTTCCCGCCGTACGTGTTCATGCGTTGATTTGGAACATTTCTCTCATTGGTGGTGGCGCATGTGTGTACGGTATATCTGGGCAAACATGTGCCGGCCATGTGACCATTACCATGCACGGTACCACGCGCAGTCCGATCCCGTTTCTTCCGTTGGGAAAATTTGCGTGTGTCGAAAGGCACTCGACTGCAATGCAAACCGGGATGAACCTGCTATTATACAATGGCGTGGTAGGGTCACCTACTGCCAGCGTTCAAAGTTTTTGTTGTTGTCTGATTATAACTTCTAAAGCCAGTCTTAAACGCATCGAAATCATAACTGAACTTGTCAAAGCCTGCCGTGTTTTTTTTTTTGGAGATAATTCCGGGGAAAATGGAACGGGAAATAAGCAGTTTCCCTGCAGACTGTAATTGCAGCCCTCCGACCAGACTTAGATGCGGGCTACCCCTGGGTCGGAGAGTTACAAAACAGCCAAAAAGTCCGCAACTTCTGAGCCCGCTGCCGGGAACCATGGTACTTCGGTGCCGGGCAGCCTAACCAGGCGTACAGCAGATGAGAGAAGTTGTATGACGTCACGTCATTTTTAACTTCTTTCCACGTCCAGTCAGAAGCTAGCATTTCAAAAAATACAGCAGTTCCTTTCTGGTTGACTTTCAGTTTTGGTGCGATCGCACAAAGCTTCGAAGGTCATCCCGCGGAAATTGACGGCACTGGCGTTTAAAGTCGTCTACTTATACCAGGGCACAGTCCCATGCCCCGAAATGCGAGCATGCTGATCTGAGGCGCATGGACGCACGAAAAGCAACTTAGTCTAACCGGCACGTTCTACCCATCAATGCCCCCGAAACGGAAGATCATTTAAAGCGTCTCGTTTCTGGCTCGTATGCCTACGCCATGTAATTACCCAGTGCATAGGCTCATACTTTCTGAACTCAGGGCAGAGCTGGATGGTAGGGCTGGCTGGTTCGCGGTGCTGGCAGGTGGACCTGCTCTCAGAACAGGCCAAACGGGGGTGGTTGTGGTCACATAGATCGGTTCTCGGATCCGGTGTCCTTCAAGCTAAGCTAATGAAATGCAAGTGAGGAGTGAGTTGTCGCTTACCGTCGACTTCATGTTAGATAGATGAGGTCGCAGACTTTTGTCCAAGTCATGGCAGACGGCTTCCACTTACAGCCAGGTGTGTTTTGTCAACGGATTGCTGATAACCCGTCTGTCTCGATAGCACGCGGCTACTGACGTACAATATTGTTGGGATGCAGATGCACGAAGGAGAGAGCAGGAAGAGTAGTGCCAGTGCTTGTTCCGAGCTATCTCGTACTGTACAGCTGGGTTGATGCGCCCTTCAAGCTGAATAACTAACTCTCATGCAATGCTGAGCTGAAGACTTTTTTGGAAAAGACGCCTTCGTAAAAAAACCTGCGTGATTGGATGAATTCTGGGATCACCGCCCACGATAAGCAGTGCTTGTTGCGTGATCCCTGACCCCACCATCCGATTATAAGGTTCCGGGTCAACGGCGGAATTTTTCGGCGAAAGTTGAACGTAGCGCAATGCTCGGCGCAGTCCTTCCTACTCTCTGACGCCACCTAACCTTTAGCGCGGCCGCCTCCACCTGTTACGACGGAACTGTTTGCGACGGAAGGTGTGCAATCAGTTCCGCACTTTAGCTCTCAGACCCCGTAAATGCAGCAAAGTCCGGTCCTGGCTGAAACCAATGCAGTTTAACTTTTAGCTTCGGCTTGGATGTTGGCTCTAGCGTGTGTCCCAGAGTGAGGGTGGACTGTACCAGACTTGGCTCCGGTCGTTCACGGGGGGCTGATTACTGGAGCGGTCCGGGCGGCGCTGTGGCGATGTGCGATGGCGTACGCAAACTTGTGCGGAGCCTTGGGGGTATGGCTGAAGACAATTCAACAAAATAGATTAATAAAGAGTGTTACGTAGGTATTTGTAGTTCAAATTGCTGGCATACGCAAGTGAGACATTATGCTATTTTGATGGTTGCGTGAACAGTTGCTGGACGTAATTTGGTGACCAGACTGATGAACTAGGGAATTTCATGACCTAGGGATTTGCTAGATTCTGTAGACCCTTTTTATAAAAAACACACGCATTTGGGCAGGAAATAACAAAGATGGAAATGAGCCGACCCGTTTAGAGTTAAGCATGAGCTGGACAATAAACTAAACGTCTTGGTATATCATACACATTGGGTGCCTTCTTATTGTCTTCTCAAAATGAAATGTCAACTCTAAGTGCACTTTGGAATAAATATTAGCATTAACTTATAGAAGAACAAAACAAGTATTTTGAGATGCGAATGTAGATACTTGATGATGATCGGGAAGATGGCAATGGTTGGAACGCTGTTGCCATCAGCGCAGATGCCCGCGCTTATACGTCTCCTGAATCAATTTTACTCCTATCGATTTCTCTTTGAGTTCATATGGAAATGGCAAAAGTTGACTATATTAAAAGAGAAATTGATACGCATTCACCATATTGGGGTGGGTGACCGGAAAGTTGGCTGGGTCAGAATGGAAATGACCGGAAATCCCGATTGATGCAAAGACTTTCGTCAGGAAAGACTGCGCAAGGCAGTTTTTATTAGAACGAAATCCATTACTACTGGTTCAGCTGGCTACAGATATCCAACAAACTCTGCTCACAACCCTGGAGGCTTAAGGGAATAGCATACGTAAGTTATTTATGTGGCGTGGGTTAACGTAGGGAGGTCCATTCCTCTGTAAGACCGGGGGCGACCGTTTCTATGCATTTCCATGGCGCCAGCTGATGTCTAATGTCTGTTCGTGTGCGGCGTCAGCTGACATCTCACATCTGTTCATGCGCGGTGTTGGCTGACGTATCATGCTCCTCGTGTGCGGGTGTTGGCTGACGTATCATGCCTCCTCGTGTGCGGTGTTGGCTGGCGTCTCATGCCTCCTCGTGTGCGTGTGTGACTGACGTATCATGCCTCCTCGTGTGCAGTGTTTGTTGACGTTTCATGCCTCCTCGTGTGCAGTGTTTGCTGACGTTTCATGCCTGCTTGTGTGCGGTGTTGGCTGACGTATATGCTTGCTTGTGTGCGGTGTTGGCTTAAGTCTCATGCCTCCTCGTGTGCGGTGTTGGCTGAAGTCTCATGCCTTCTCGTATGGCGGTGTTGGCTTGACGTATCGTGCCTGCTCGTGTGCGGTGCTGGCTGACGACTGGTTGCCTCCTCGTGCGCGTGTTGGCTGATGACTCACGTCTGTTCATGTGTGGCCTTAGCTGACGTTTCAGGCTTGCTCATGTGCGGTGTGGCTGACGTCTCCTGCCTGCTCTTGTGCGGTGTGGCTGACGTCTCCTGCCTGCTCGTGTGCGGTGTTAGCTGACGTCTCGTGCCTGCTCGTGTGCGGTGTGGCTGACGTCTCCTGCCTGCCTGCGCGTGCCGCCGGCTGCTGGCGGCGGCCAACTGACCCGGTCGGCCGCCGGTTCCAGCCGCTGACCTTGCCGTCGCGTCGCTGATTCGTGGAGAGGCCGCCGTAAAAGTATGCGCCGATATTTATCCCCGGATGGTAGCGCTAGACACGGGCTAGTCTTCTCCGCCACCGCCGATCCTCCAAAAGGTACGTCCTCAGGGCACTCCTGAGGGGAGGAGGTCCCAGATTAATAGAGGGCTGTGATGGTTAGAAACGTGCCGGTTGGCGTGTGATTATTTGTTTTGTTCGCAAACATTGGGCTTATTATGAGTTCTTTGCCTGTCCCTTCACGAACAGAAAGCCGCATATTGTTTGCATAAACTGTTTTGCAGTGCTTTAAAGCACATTCTGGTGAGACTCAGTGTGTAACAGATGATATAGGATAAGTACAAACATTGCAATTACATAGTCTTGTTTCATGCAATATGCGTGTCTGCGAAGAAATTGCACATTGCAGACAATAAAAATACCTTGCGTTTTCTTGGCAGCTTACAAAGCAGTAGAATATGGTTCTTTTGAAAGCACGGCTGCTAAGGATTATATTTGGGCTTAACTCCAAAAGGTACCCCGTAACTAAATGCGACATGCCAAGTTTAAAATGACGCATGCCGAATTAATCAACCCCACATGCTTCTGCTTAACGATTTCTGTCGTCCACAACGGCATCTGATGGTGCCGTGTATCAGTTCTGAGGACGTCATCGGCAGAGGTTGAAGGGCGTCACTATCCGTGTCAAGGAGAACCCTGTGGCCGTCATGCTCAGAGCCCACAGCCGGTGCGTCATTGTCGAGGTGCGCGTGCACCGGCGAGGAGAGCCGTGGAAGCCGGATGGTGCGGGTGAAAGGTGCGCCGTTCATGGAACCTCTCGGACGTTGGAAGAGCCGGGAGACTCTTCTTCCTGCGTGTCGCTGAATTCCCTCTGCCTCGGG